TCTTGGTGGGAAGTGGCAACGTGCGGTGGTGTGTGTGAAACTTAGAAGGGAAGAGGGGGTAGGATGAGAGAGACCCAGGAGGGACGAGTGGGACCTAGGGAGGGGGTGAGAGGGGAGGGGGAGGAATGAGAGGGACTAGGAGAGGGGAGGGAGAGTGAGTGAGTGATGGGGGGGGCCTTTGGTGTACATTTTACTCTACGGAATTATCTCTTCACATTTCAGTTTTATTCATTTTTATTTGCTTTTCTCTCTTTCCCGTATGTATGTATGTATGTATGTATGTATGTAGGTGCCTGAGGGTTGGCGACCATGGCCCAATTTTTAATTCCATTGATCTATTCCCACTGTCTGTCTGTCTTCTGGTCTTCCTGTCAACATTACCCATTAAGTGACAGACGGGAACTGACAGAAACCAATATGGACAGGAAGGGGCGGGATAGTGACCTTTAGGGACAGGAAGAGAGGTGGGATAGAGACCTTTAGGGACAGAGAGGGTGGGATAGTGACTTTTAGGGACAGGAAAGAGGTGGGATAGAGACCTTTAGGGACAGGAAGAGAGAGGCGGGATAGAGACCTTTAGGGACAGGAAGAGAGGGCAGGATAGTGACCTTTAGGGACAGGAAGAGAGAGGCGGATAGTGACCTTTAGGGACAGGAAGAGAGATAGAGACCTTTAGGGACAGGAAGAGAGGTGGGATAGTGACCTTTAGGGACAGGAGAGGTGGGATAGTGACCTTTAGGGACTGGAAGAGAGGCGGGATAGTGACCTTTAGGGACGGAAGAGAGCGGATAGAGACCTTTAGGGACAGGAGATGGGGGTGAGGTGGGGAGGAGGTGGGGTGGAGGGAGCAGGAGGTAGGGGGTTAGGTTGGAGGGGAGGAGGTGAGGTGAGGAGGAGCAGGAGGTGGGGGTGAGGTTGGGGGAGGTGAGGTGGGGGAGGGAGCAGGAAGAAGGTAGGGGAGTGGGGGGGGAGGGGTGAGTGGAGGGAGGAGCAGGAAGAGAGGTGGGGGTGAGGTGGGGGGAGGTGAGGTGGGGGGCAGGAGTGGGGGGTGAGGTGGGGGAAGAGGTGAGGGTGGAGGGGGAGGCAGGAGAAGGTGGGGGGTGAGGTGGGGGAGGAGGTGAGGTGGGGGAGCAGGAAGAGAAGGTAAGGGGTGAGGTGGGGGGAGGAGGTGGGGGTGGGGAGGGCAGGAAGAGAGGGAGGTGGGAGGTAGAGGGAGTGGGTCGTCTCCACACTTGGCACTGGTGTCTCTATCTCCGAGGAAACAATTGGCATCAGATGAGGTACCACTGTTGTACACCGCCACCCTCCTGAATGTGTGTGTGTGTGTGTGTGTGTGTGTGTGTGTGTGTGTGTGTGTGTGTGTGTGTGTGTGTGTGTGTGTGGGTGTGTGTGTGTGTGTGTGTGGTTACCTGGGAGGGCGTGGGTGTGTGTCTGGTTACCTGGGAGGGCATGGGTGTGTGTCTGGTTACCTGGGGCGTGGGTGTGTCTGTGGTCCTGGGAGGGCGTGGGTGTGTGTCTGGTTACCTGGGAGGGCGTGGGTGTGTGTCTGTGGTTACCTGGGAGGGCGTGGGGTGTGTGGTTGGTAACTAAGACCTTGAAATATTATAACTGTCAGACGTATACTACAACTGTGTGACGTATAATTTATGTCTGCAATGATGGAGTTCTTTCACCTGTCTCTCCCCTTCACCAATATGGTGTCCTGCTTTGTTAAACGAGTCTTATTTATACGTGAATCCTCGTGTGTGTGTGTGTGTTGTTGTGTGTGTGTGAACTGAATAATTTTCACTCGTTTATATAATACTTTATATTTTATTCTTCTCTGGCGATATTTAAAGACCCCGTTGATATTTACCCTGGTCCCGTTTCCTAAGTTAGCCCACAAGCAGACCCGCCTCATTACACGTCGTCTTTAGCCTCTCTTCACATATTTCCTTCCCGTCTCACTCATCGTTGTTTACCGGGAGGTCTTTGTTCTCTGACACTTGTCCCCGAGGTGGCCATGTGCCTTGTCTCTCATCACACTCTCATGGTGGTCACTCTATACCTAGGAGTTCCCTCACACCGGTTATGTACGCTACTGGGAAGGCTTTACCGGGATACTCTACTCCACTTTTATCCTCCTATCGGGATCATTGACAACAGGCGAGGGAGGGGTGTAGATGGTGCTCCCTCACACCTCCCTCCTTATCTTCTTGCTTACCTCCTCCTTACCTCCCTCCTTCCCTCTCTTCTTACCTCCTTCCCTCTCTGCTCACCGCCTTCCTTCCTTATCCCCTCCCTCCTCCCCTCCATCCTTCCCTCCCTTCTTACCTCCTTCCCTCCTTTCTTCTTACCCCCTTCCCTCCATCATTACCTCTTCCTCCCTCCCTCCCTCCCTCTTTCTTTCCCTCCCTTCCTCCTTCCTCCCTCCTCCCTCTCCTCTTCCCTCCTCCATCCCTCCCTCCTTCTTACCTCCTCCTCCACCTCCTTCCCTCCCTTCCTCCTTCCTCCTTTCTCTTCCAATCACCTTCTTCCATCCCTCCTCCTTCTACCTCCTCCACCTCCCTCTTCCCCCTTCCCTCCTTACCTCCTTCCCCCTTCTACCTCCTCCCTCCTTCTTACCTCCTTCCCACCCTTCTTACTCTTCCCCTTCTACTCTCTTTCTCCTCTTCCTCCTTCTTCCTTCCCCCTACCTCCTTCCCACCCTTCTACCTCCCCTCCTTCTTACCTCCTTCCCTCCCTTCTTCCCTCCTTCCCTCCTTCTTACCTCCTTCCCACCCTTCTTACCTCCTTCCCTTCTTACCTCCTTCCCTCCTTTCTTCCCTCCTTCCATCCCTCATTATAACAGTATTAGTCGATCAAATAATGTGGTAACTTGGCTGGTGAATATAAGCAAACAGTATAAGATATTTTTGAAGTGGATTTTAATTTTGAGTTTAGTTTCACTTCTCTGTTGTTTTACTACTTTGAAACTAAATTGTCTGTGTAAATCAGGCGAGGCGGAAAGTTTCTTCGTGAATATTCGACTTGTTTCCTCCCTCTGTTACTATAGTTACATTAAGAAAACAGCGGCTCTGATTGGCGGGTTACATTGCATCATATGATAGAAACTAAATGTGTTTGGGCAGTTGTAAATGTTAATTAGTGAATATGAATGACATGGTAATCTATATGCCGTACTCGATACAAAGGTGTGTATTGCATTATCATTATGGCGTAATGAGAGCGTAACTTACTCTTCCGCGTCTGCCACTGTTCCCGCTAGCTGACCTATAAATAATTAATCCCCTATCTATTTTTAAGACTAATTATTCAATGAGTTTAAGATAAAAAACTAAATATGTTATTGCCAAAAATTAACACATGGTAGTAAATTATTTAATCCTTATTAAAATAGCATTAAAATGTTATCTTACACGATATCTTTCCCGCCGCGATCTCTGATAGTGAGTCTACTCAGGTTAGACTAAATCACATCAGGTCAAATGTCATCTCGTGACAAGCCGTCCGCTTGTCACCAGTGTAACAGGATATGACCAATGCCAGGTGTAGGTAATATCTCTACATTAGCCTCTGGTCAGTCGGGGTCAAGTTTACAACAACTCAAAGGACCCACCAAGTAAGAGGATGTAGATGACAGGCATCATGACCTCACAGGACAATGATTACTGCCAGATTATGTACAGGATAGTGTGTTGTCAACTTGTGGGGGAGTCAGTAACTTCGTTTTATTACTTTACTTGTTAATAGTATTTAAAGAAATTTTTTGTTTTGTTTTTCCAAGCGATTTTTTTGGGGGACTTTATATCCGTTCACAGAAATCAGCCCCCCCTCATAAAATCATGCTTGTTTATATATAGTATAGTATATACTGTACTATACTGTATATATATGTATGTATATGGCCGCTGAACCTTTCTACAGTTCATACGTCGTCCTATTTCCTTAAGCAATGGATTTGTTTTGAGACCAGGTGAATATAAAGATTTTATTTTATTTTTTCATCGTGGTTAAATCGTCCAAAGGTACGAAGTCCTCATTCGGCTAAGAGAGAACGGGAAATTCACACAAAACTAAAACAGTGTCGTGTGGTGACGGCGGTGGAGGAGCCTCAGTTTACATCCCTGCTGTCTGGATTTCTTCGGGTGTTAGAACACTTGATAATAGTAATAATATTTCCTGGTTATATTTTCGTGATCATGTGAATGCTTGTATTACAACACCAACATTGTCCTCGCGTGTGGGAGACCTCACATATCTACAAGTGAGGACAATGTTGCTGTAGTAGTGTAAACATTCACGCTTTCTTCACGTAAACATGTAAGGCCATGTGTATACACTGTTCTGGGACACCCTGTGTAGTGTATCATTGCTCACTACTGGCTTCTGTGTTTCCAGATCCATGTATTTTGTTTTAACCCTTTTCGCAAAATTATTAAAAGCTGACGTAAACATCTGACTCGTATTTAACTAATGATGCCCCACACTTCTCTTCCTGCAAACTGTAAAGTCCCACCTTTAACTCCAGCAATTGTCCCTCTGTCAGGGACCTCCTGCCCTAGGAAGTAATAGTGTCACGAATGGCATGACCCTGATCATTTAGATTTACTGGTGCGCTAGGTGAGGTTCTCTTGTTGTCCTCTTAGGTTAATTGTACCCTCAAGTTTGCCGCCATTTGCGAAAAATCTGCCTTCTTACGTCGTGACAGCCCGCATGTCTTCTGGTGGGTCTACCACCATTTAGGCGTAATTAGTTAACCTCCAAATATTTGTTTAATTCGTAACTATCTTGAAAGACAATTATTATTAGATTGTGATAAACTTACATAGCACTTATGTAAATGTCATGAATCATTTGATGAATATAACAAACGAAATTTCTGTGATTTTGGCCACAAACACTGCGTCACGTCACCTGGTGTTCCACACTGTAGTGTGACGTAGAAGGTATAGTGATTTATGAATGGTATTTTAAAGTGTAGGAAGGGTTAAAAGTTAATTAGTTGTTAAATTTTACAGATGAAGCCTAAAACAGTTACGTGTTAATATAAACAATGAAGACGTTTAACAATATTTGAGAATCTCATATGTTATAAGCAGTCAGTGACAGAGTGATAGCGACCAAAGTCTAAGTAAAGAGGTGAGGTGAACGACGTGAAGTTGATCATACACTAGAGAAACTGGTGACGTGCAGACGAGGAGCAAGTGGGTGATGGTGGTGGCGGCCGTCGGGCCGTGGTGGGGTGTGGGCAGACCGCCGCGTGCCCCATGACGGTGAAGCCCATGCCTATCAGCGGCCAGAGACGCCCTGCCCGTCCCGCGCCCTCAACCTGCCCCCCGCCGCCATGCTGAAGCAGCACGGGGGGACAGACGCCGCGATGTGCGTCCCAGACGATCGTCCGCGTAAGAAACTTTCTTTCCGTGAGCCAGAAGTGGTTACTTCCTCCAGGAATGGTGGACACGCTGCTACTCTCTCAACACCAAGGCACGGTTCCACATTCAGCCCTCCACCACCACCATCAACACCCACCCAGACAGACACTTGGCCGCCCGCACAGTATAGCTGGCATCGTAGGCTTGGGTGGCTTCAGTGCCCTGGGTGGCGTCCCAGGTCTAGCCAACCTAACTACCGTGCCTGGCACTCAGTGTGTCACTTCGCCTGGAACAGTGTCTGGTGTAACTACGATGCTGGGCAACCCAGGTCTCCTTGGTCCCACCTCTGTACCAGGCATTTTGGCTGGGCCCGCAACACCCATATTAACCCCACCCACAAGCCCCACCCACACAGCCTCTAGCCAGCTCGCCACACCCCCGGTTGAAGCGGGGCCCAGCAGCCAGCCGTCAGCACTCACCAGTAAGACAGTGCCCACTCAGCCCTCCACACCCTCAGGAAAGGTGGGCTCATCTCAGGTGACTGCATCCTCATTAAAAGTTGTCGGTCAGGCGTCAGCATCAGCAGTCAAGATGTCTACCAGTCAGCAACCTGCCACTCCCACTCATAAGTCGGGTACAGCCACAACAAGAGTATCCGTCACCCAACAAACTAAGGGCGGGTCATCCCAGCCATTCACACCGTCTGGGAAGTCCCTTCCACCAAGTGGAGAAACCACAGGTCACGCAAAGCCAACCAAACCCGCTTCTCGGAACAGCTCATTGAAAAAACAAAGGTCATCTCCAGTGCAGCAAGCAGTGACCTTCCTGATGGAACGAGGGGTGGTGAACGGCCGCCCCCGCAGTCATCACAGTGAGACAGCAGTTGCGGTCAGCCTCGAGGACATCGACCTAGAGGTGAGTTAGTTAGTAGTCAGGTATACACACCAACCTGGAGAAGGTAAGTTAGTTAGTAGTCAGGTCACTATATGCAGCAGGAGGTGAAAAACCAGGCAACCATAACCTGAGTTGCATACTCGTCGGCAGCAGGTGGCCCGGTGCCTGTGACGATGACAGCTCAAGTCTTGGCAAGCCTCAGTCCTGTGATAAAGTCGGTCTTCGCCAACACAGGTGCAGTCATTACTCACTTGAGGTGGAACAACAGCTTAAAACTAATGTAAATTTTCTTTCTCCACAGAGTCAGGCGATGAGGGTTGTCAGAACAGTAGGTCAAGCGTTCGAGGTATGTCACAAGATCTCGGTAAAGGACACCCTCCGTCCCCAGAACCTGCCGAGGACGAGGCCAGTGAGCACGGCTCAGACGCCTCAACAGAAAAACTCAAGAAAGGTGAGTTATGTCCTCAGTAGCAGTAGTTGTAAACAACGATTACTCTAAATGTCAAGCTTTTCATAATTTTTTAGAGGTGAAAGATTTTAATACGTAGCTGATTCACGTTAATTTTCATTTATATATTTATTCATTAGTGAGGGGAAAGATATACCAGTAGTAAAAAAAGAAACACATTTCTGATATTTTTATTTAGAAAAATATTTTTTTTCAAGATTATAATTCAGGAATTGACGAGTCATGATGAAAGGATGTCTCAGCGAGACAATATGTAGAATATATTGACCAAAAGATAATTATATGCTGTATTTCGTATTAATATTTTATTATTAAATGATGATTCCTCATTAGACAAAGCCAAAAATAGTGTTATTAAAAAAGTATTAAAATTACCCTCAATTAACTGGTGTACTCGACGTTGATGAGTTTGTTTTTTGACCAAATAAAGTTAGCCACGACACCCGACATTACACAACTCACCCAGGAGGAGTTGTGTGTGTGTGTGTGTGTTTTATTATTATGGTCGGGATGGACACCCCACAGCCTCATGACAAAAATTATGTGTACATGCAAAAATAAAAATAAAATAACCGTAGCAAATTTCAGGTCTCCGTTTAAAACTGTGGTCGTGTATAGTGCCCATAAAAGGTGAGGGTCTGCCCCCCATTTAAATGATCATAAACATTCTCGGAGCTATTAAGGATACAGGAACATAATGAGTTTATAATGATGATGGGTTTCACCTTTGGGGGCGGGGCTGACCACTGGGACCAACTGTCCCAAAAAACATTATTCTGACACTTCTGGAACCCATGTCCATCTCCATGCCAAATTTCAGCTCTTTATCTTCAAAACTGTCGCCATGCATACCGAACAAACAAACAAACAGACAGACACTGCTTTATTATCTTCAGTAAAGAATGACATAATTATAGGGTTGGTTATCATCCGTCCAGACACGTGGGTGTGTTAAAGGCAGCAGATTATACTCGTCAAACATGTCGATAATATTTCTGATTTTGTCCTGCTTTGTGTACTTTGTGTGTGTGTGTGTGCACGGACATAATGTTAAGGACATAATGTTAAGGAATGCGCCATAAACCTTGAGAACAATATGGGATTATTCAAATATAAATTCACTGATGAGTGATGCAACCAGCAGTAGATATCTGATAATTTACACAACGTTTTGATTAAATAAATTCACTAATAATTATGTATACTAATGATGTCAGAGGTTATTTAGTTTAACGAAATTGAACTAGCCCTTTAACCGTTGCTTCAGACTGTAAGGATTCTGTTAACACTGTACTAAATTTTCCATGTTTGTTTGATGTGTTCATGGACTGGGTACTGTAGTAAGAATGAGGATGTAGAGAAATGGAGAAGCTTGTGAGTTTGGTGTAAATTAACGATGACACAACTACTGTACTCTTTGTAGGCAACACTGAATTAATTAAAAATTTTCGCAAATGAGTTTTGAAGAGTGTTCAAGAAGATGGTTGGTGGTGAATGTAAAGAAAAATAAAGTGATGAAAATAAGTAGAAACGGTAGATAGAAACTAATGATGAATTGATTAGGTAGGATGGGAGACGTGGATATATCAGATGGGTGATAGATTGAGAGAGAATCATATCAAGAGGAGAAATGTTGAATTGGCATTCTTACTGTATGTGGTTGTAAAACCTGGACTCGGGAGGAGTGAACAGAGTAGAAGTAACAGATATGATGTCTTGATAGTAATGCTTTTGGTAAATGGGAACCAGATTATGAATAATATAGCATTAGGAGATGTTGAAGTTGGGAAAATTATAAGTGTATTTGGATGATAATATGGACGTAGTGAGACAAGAGGGAGGTGAGAGATTGGCAAAGAGAGTTGAGTTATTAAGAGGTACACAGCAGGAGGTACAGCACAGTACTGTAGTAGAGGGGAAGACCAGGGGAATGGAAGAATAGGATTGAGAGTTGTACTAGCAGTGAGGGAAGCAGCAGTGTGCGTGTGAATGAACACAAAACATGGCATTGTGTGTGGGGTTTTTAATTGGGGGGTACTACTGGGGAATAATACTGTATGAGTATATAAGATAGATACTACAGTATATGGGTATATAAGATAGATACTGTATGGGTATATAAGATAGATTCTTCTGATAGATACTGTATGAGTATGTAAGATAGATACTGTATGTGGGTCCTATTGTGGGAGGGGAAGATGTTTGATAAAATTATGAATATATGTTACCAGTCTCATTGTTCCTCCATAAATTATCATGACTTGTTTATAAAAGGTCATAGAGATATCAGTGTGTTGGTAACTTTCTTTAATTTGCCCATACAAATCTCTTGGACACCGAGAGCACCCAGGAGGACCTAGTTACCCTTACACCTTCAGACTCGGTCAATGAAGACTCCATTGAACACTTAATTCAGCGGCCCAATAAACTGGAACCTCTTGCACCTCCTGTTGGTTCAGACATTCTCTCAAAGGTAAGGATGGTTATACACATACATAGTATGAAGTTCATACAATGAACATAATGAAGCCTGCTTGTTTATTGAATGGTGGGAAATGGGAAATATAAAAATTATGCTGTATTTGGGAATTTATTGTAACTTAGAAATGAAGGTAGTAAGGGATGCAGTTTTGGCAAGAGGCTGTTGTCATTAGCTACAGTATTCTGTTGTGCATTACTAGACTTTTGTTTCAGGACCATAACTTGAGTTTTCATTCACCATTAAACAGCAGAAATGGTGAGAATTTTGATTTTGTTCAATTTTCACACGATGTTACTCCTCAACATGCTGGTTAGGATCTGAGTTCAAAAATTTTAAGTTCATGTGTTAGAACTAATTACATTAATGACACTTGAAATAGTAATTACCTATAAAATACCAAATTTGCAATCCCTGTAAGATATATATATTGTTTTTACATGTTTTTCCATTAATATAGACACAGTCTTAACATCCTTTACCTATTATGCAAATTAACGAGAGTCTTGGGACTGAAGAAATTTTGTTTATGTATCGACGGTAAAACAGTTGTACAGTATTACTTGTTGTTGTTACAGGGTGGTGGCGAGACATATGCCTCTCCACTCAGTGAGCCTTTGCCTCCGGGTGACACACTACCTATGGCAGGCACTCCTCTCTCTGTACATCATGAATTACAACTGCTACGAGAACAGCTTGAACAGCAGCAGCAGCAGACACAGGCAGCAGTGTCTCAGGTCCACCTTTGCAGAGACCAACTGGCTGCAGAGACAGCAGCACGACTGGAAGCTCAGGTATGCCTGTAGTGTACAGTACTGTACTGTAATTACATGTGGGTAATAGTTAATCTGTTTTTACATGTGTGGGTGTTAAAAGATCAATGCTACCCATCAAATTACAAGGTTCTGAGGACTCTTGAACTACATTCCCTTCATTTTAAATGATGTGTGTACTAGTTCTAACATTATTGCTCCATATATCAAGGTGTGCTCATTGTGAAGTCTTTAGCATCATAAGTTACATTTAACAATGCTCATTGACATGAAACTTCGTTCAGTAGTTTTTCCCCAACAGTAATGAAACCCCAAAGGTCATAGTCATCATAGACCTACATGTAAAGCTCTTGTTTATTGAAGGTAACAGGAGTTTGGTTAAGCTACCTAACAAAAAATTTCTATAGAAAAAATGGTACAGTCCTCCTTTATGATGGCTGTGCCTCTTGACCAATTTCAGGAAATTTGTCTCTAGAAAGTGAATGGTCTTTTACCTGGTGAAAGCCCCCAAACTTGGGAAGAAATGCGTAGTAGGTTTTCCTAATATTTCTGTATTTTTTATTTCTTACACTATTCCAAGACAGCATGCTAGATGCCACATCCAATGTTTATCGCGGGTGACTTCCAAAAACTTTCCCACTGCTGTACTTTTAGTGAGAACTAGATTTATTGGTGATAAAATTAACAAACTTTACTTCCAAACCTAGGTCAGGTTTGGTAAGTAAGGTTTGTCATTTTAGTCTGATAAATTAATGTAGCAGTAACTGGTAAGTCGTAACATGTGACTGCAGTAAGTTAAGGAGTTAAGAAAACATTTTTCTTCAATACAATAATTTCATTAAGTTGCTGATTTAGGGGGTGTACCTCAAGAATAAACCAAATTGAGTGGAGGACTTGCATTTTTCGTCTTTTGTTTTCTTTTCCCTGGTTTTCTCATAAGTAAAGATGATTTGTTTCCATTGTCTACTTGGCAATGCCATGTTTGCACTTATCTGTTAATAAATGCTTCCCAGAGACCAGTCAACCCCTGAATGTTAAGCAATAGAACACTCCCCAGCCAGCATTTGACCTTCTTTTCCATATGAACCCGGCACTTAACCAGACCTAAAATCTAACCTACCGTGTGACCTAAAATGTTATTATACAGTACTAAAGTAATTCCATTGTAGGAGAGGTAGGTTTGGTTGGTTCATCTTATCTAAAATTTAATCATAATTCTGTGCAGTATAATGTAATAACATTAGGCTGGAAGTGTTCTTGTGTATGGAAAGGATGCTGCTGCTGGAAAACATTCATGTGTATTGTTGAATGAATATTATTATGAAAATTGCAAATCCCATTTGTAATTTTTGGGGATATTTTTCTTAATGTAAGAAAGGATAGATAATTCATTATCATATCTAATGTATAGCAGCTGATTTCTCCAGCCTGATGTGTTGGTCTTGAAATCCCAGCTGCGGTATACTACAGTACACTATTGTGTTATATTAAAAGTTAAAATAAATTGTGTGCTGTAATATGTATTACTTTGATGAAGTTCTCTTCCAGCTAGTTAAAATATATACAGAAAAATAGTAAAAAGAGGTACAATGTTCACAATGGCTAATTTGATTCAGTTGTTTACATCCTTCTCCGCTTACTAGCGCTTATCTTTTTATTTCCACAATGTAAATGCAAATTTTATTTCTGAAGCATTAAATTTTACACACAAGTAGGAAATTTATCGTCAAAGTAAACAAACTAATGTTAATTAGGGATACTCCTGTTAATTTAGTCTTTCTGCAGTTGAGGACTAAACTCTTTTCTTTCTCACAAGCTTTTCTTCTCACGTTTATACTTAACATGATACAAAGCAAGAGTTGTAAGAGCCAACAATTTATTGTCAGAGTCTTCAAAGCCATCCATCTTGTTGCTGTTTTGGTTTGGCTCTAGCTGCTCCACCGCAGTTCCAGCGGCAATAGTACTACCATCGTGTGAACACACTTCGTCAAGCTTCATTACTGAATCCATTTTTTTTTCCAGTCCCAAGCTTACAGGATAATCATTACACAGTAGTACTGTACCTGAGTAAATCTTGGAAAATTATATCAGCGTCCTTCATCGGATATCCATTTAATAAAGCTGACTTTTCAAGCTTACAGTATAGTTATGTAAACATTGTAAATATATTTTAATGTACAAAACACTGCTTTCCCCTAAATTATTAATGGAACTTCATACTGTATATACAGTATAGGTGTACTGTAGTCTGTTCACTTGAACTGTGTAACTGAGGCCTAGGGTCAGTTTGCAACAAGGCCGTGATTGGCTTACAGATGGGCATATGGAGAGTTACTACAATTCTTAACTATGTAATCAATCATATTTCTATTTAACATTTTAAGGAAATATTGTACTGTAGTATGTCTTTCTGTGTTGATCTCTGATAATTTTTTCACTTGGTGAAACCAGAATTAGCTGTGAAACAAACTGGTAATAAAAATATCTTAAAGGGAACGTGAAAATGATGAACAAGATCCGAGATGTAAACTCCTTGCTTCATGACGTCACTTGGCGTGGTGGAGGATGTCTCTGAAATTTTGTGCTCCTTTTCTTGCTCTCTTTATAATATTTATGTTACCAGGGATTTCTCACAATTTTTGCTTTCCTTACATAAAAATTATGAGAAACCAAAATAGAAAAGTTATTATCCCATTAAATTCAGTAGCAGAGTACTCAATTTTTTAATTGGGAATAGTCCACTCAGGCACAGGTCATCGACCCAATGGGGCTTGGGTGGGTGGGGGGTGGGGGAATAAATAGAAAAAATAATAAAAATACAAAATTTGAGGAGAAAAAGACTGTGTTAATCTACACCACGAAGATGCCAGGAAACCAACTTTTGAAGTGAGACAAATTGTAAGAGGATGGAAACTCAGAAAAAGGCAGAGCATTCCACAGTTTGGCTGTGTGAGGAAAGAAGGATGTACTATAACAGGTTAGTCTAGTGTGGCAGACATCCTCACAGAAATGGTGGGCACCACGGGCAGTACACAGGATGCCAAAGCCACCAAACATTGCCCGTTAAAGTACCTGTAAAAGAGAGTGAAGCAACATTGCAGTGAAGAGAAAGGGAAGAGATTGTTGACTAAAGGAGGAGAGTTAATATGACGAAATGCCTTTGATTCTACCCTATCTAACAGTTGGACAGAAGAAGAGACACCCCAGATATGAGAGCAGTACTCCAAGTTAGGACAAATGAATCCCTTATAAACCTGAAGCAAATGATCAGGGGTAAAGCAAATACAGCATAACATTCCCAGTTTTAGGGATGCAGCTTTAGCAACATAAATATGAGAGATTAGATACTAAAGAACTGTAGTGACTCTTTGCTTGTTTTTTCTGCCAGCCAATCAGCTGCCTTGTTAAAAACTGACCCTAGGCCTCAGTTGCTAAATTTGGGTGAACAGACTTGAGGTACCTGTGATTTCTTGATAAAGATTTTCTTGTTTTTGTGTTATTCAGGAAGTACTGTACAGGCAGTCCCTGACTTATGACTATCCGATTTATGAACACCCACACTTCTGAACGGGATCCCAATACATGCATTGCAAATTTTTTTAATTAAAATCCCATTTTTTACATTATTTTTTTATTTCTATATTGTTTAACATCATTTTATTTACAGTATTTACATTATTTGTTCTGTATGGGATATTATTGTTTTGTTGTATGGCAAGGTTGTGCTTTTATAACTTAAACTATGGAATTAACACTGTTCTGACTTACAAACAAATCGACTTACAATCAGGGTCCATGAATGTTTCCCTGTACTAAATTGGTTAAATACATTACATAATTTCAAAATCTAAGAGATATAGCCAAAAGAAAACCATGGGGTTAGTCTTACAGTACAGTATGCCCCCCAAGTTCACGGATTTTTACTTCGTGGTTTTCGGTTATTAGGATGACACCCTGGATGTACCCAAGAATGTCTGAGGGTAGTTTTAAAATTGCCGGCATTTTCTCGGCTGGGACAGGCAATTCGTTTTAGAGACAGTAATTTCCTTTACCTGTATTGTAAATATGTGTGTGTGCATAGACACACTCACAAAAATATACAAATAAATAATAATTGGAAAATATTCTCACAAATAATAAGAAACAAATTTATTAAAAAATGTGACAGTCTACCCTCAAGTCTGTGCTCTATTAATAAAGTACTGTAACAGAGCACGGACTTGAAGGTAGACTGTCACATCGTTTAATAAATTTGTTTCTGATTATTTGTGAGAGGATTTTCCAATTATTTTTATTGTATGTGTTTGGTATTGTGTGTGTGTGTGTGTGTCTACACACACACATATACAATACAGGTAAAAGAAATAATTGTCCTAAGGGCAAATACATAAAGGGAATATACTGTACATTTCTTTGTACACAAGTAAAAATGTAACAACATCCCGCCCGGCCGTCCGCCGCCCCCTCTGTAAATGTTATTCATGGATTTGGCGATTTGCGGCCAATCTGAGAACCTAACCCCTTGCAATTTGGGGGGGCCCTTGTACATCATTCTTCATTGTAAGATTTGGAAATTAATTACTGTTGTTGATTGTGCCATAAAAAATTGGTTATGAATAATTTAATAATGTGTTTATCATCAAATTTTTGCTCAAATGTTGATCCCAATCTCTCTTCAATTTCAGGCTCGTACTCATCAACTTTTGGTTCACAATAAGGAACTATTAGAGCATATTCAAGCATTGGTCCTTCAAGTTCGTGATCTTGAGTTGAAGTTGTCAGGAAGTGGGGGCATCGCGGGAACCACACATTTACTCCCAACACCACCAGAGATAAAATCGCAGGTAAGGGCAAACTCTTAATTTTTTTGCACTGGCTGATAAGGAAATGAGTTCACAGCTCTTAAAATGCTATTTGGTTTTCTTTTTCAAAGTAACATTTGATAGTTTTTATTTGTGTAATTTACTCAAGTGAACATAATATTTCTAATGATTAAAAGTAATAAATGAAATTATCTCAATTGATATATCTATAATTTAATCATTTGAATGCGATGTAAGTGTACTTTTATTTAAAATTTTCTTAAGTTGCGGATTAGCACTATAATTATAGTTAAGCTTATTCATTTAACTGTTTATGGTTTATTCAACTTGTCAATTAATGTTTATTGATATTACCAAGAAATATTTTACCCTTTTGTAATTTATAAATTTCTCTATTTAGTACTGAACAGAAATTAGGCTCTCTTAAACACAATACAGTTCTGTACAAAATGGTCCACAAGAGCTGGTCAGCTCCTGAAATTAACTAAATTGCCTGGTTTGATATTCTACCTACCCTTTATGCAAGTTGTGACTAGAATTAGTTGACATAACAATCTTGAGTAAAGGAGACAGTGGTCTGTGTGTTCAGAGTATCATAGTGGGTGAGTTTAGACTCATGCATTTGTTCTTAAAACCACTTATCAACATTAAGCTCCTCTTATTAAATGTTAGAGTGGAATTTGTTTGTCACCTTAATTCATCTGTCTGGAAAGACCATAATTATTAATATGTCTTGTTGGACTTAGTGTGGTGTTTACAACTAAATGATTAATATACAGTACTTCTATTATAAATCAAAGTCAACCTCCATAATAAAGTACATTTTGATGTCAGAAAAAATAAAAAAATTTCATTAGTTAAGAGAATACAGTATTATTATTAAAATCACGTGCTCTTTATCTCTCTATGATAGATATTTATATCTGATTAATTATTAGACAAGTTTTTCATATCATTGTTTACTATGAAACATGGTCTTTTAATTATATTCTAAGACTTTTTCTCTTTGAATTTCATATATTGTACTCTGATGGTATAGTTCTTTTAAATTATTGTGATCCACACTTGTAAAGACTTATGCACTTGATAAGAGGCCTGTTTGTAGATTTATGCATATTGTAAATGCACCATAGTTGTCATACATAATATGTTTGTCATTCCCTTCATTTTTAGCCTTACCTTATCTATAACTGACAGACTCTCTTGATGGAGATCATCTCATACTGTATTGGCACTACTGTATGTGTATTAAGTTTCTCTAGAGAACAATTCTCTGTGTAGTCAATCCTGAAGTTTCTGGGCTTTTCTTATCAATACAGTATCAGGCAAGCCGCTTGGGCAGTTGGCCATCATTTTCTAGAGGATATATTTGTTATTATATGATTACAGTATTTAGCTAACAGGATAAACTGAGGGAAAAGTAAGAGTAACTTTAAATAAAAATATCCTTCAGTCAAACTATTTTCCTAACTAAATACAAGGTACAGTGAAACATTCACCACACCTCTTTAAGAAAATATATTAAAGAAAACATTATATTTTCCTTTTCTTTAATTTCTTGCCAAATTAGACAATGGATCAGGGCATCCACATAGCTGGCCTCACATCTGTTCATATTGCTAAGTTGACTCTTCAATGAAACTTAATACAATTAAAGTGTCTCTTAAGCAACTTTTGTACCCTCTCTGTCTTCTGCTATACTGTATACTAAATCATAAATCTTCAGTGTATTCATCTCTTGCTTGTGTTGATCATTCCGTCTCAGTTTATAACGTTTTAATATGCTGCTCATCATAAACATCACATATTTTTTCCATCTGAAAAAAAAAATCTGCACAAAGGTCAAATTTGAAAAACACAATCTTTGATCAATCACCCAGACTCATCTTCTATGCTTAAAGGCAAAATAATTTTTTAGTTCATCTTAATCCATGGAAAAACTGCCTTATATCAATTTTAAAGTTGAAAGTTTTAAATAATTCATTCAAGTTCAGTTGGAGAGAGAGAGAGAGAGTGAATGAGAGAGAAAGAGAGAGCGAGCAATGGCAATTTGGCTCCCCAGGACCCATATGATGTATAATGTGCAATCTGAACTTATTAGAATCTGAGACTCAGAGCCCAGCCATAAACAGGAGCAGTCACCAGTTACACTGGAGAGTGGCAACTTGGCTCCGTAATAATCAGCCTTGTAAGAAAGCTTATCAATACTTTCACCAGTGTATAATAGTTCACATCCATGTATATATTGAACAGCCAAAGGTACATGACACATCCCTGTCTAACACCCCACATGTTTCACTTTCATTCCCATTTACTCTTACTGTTGTCCTGCTGTTCTCATGGAATGCTTTTAATTCATTTAATAGCCTTCCTCCCATCCCATACACTTGTAATACCTCCCACAATATTTTTTGTTCACCCTATAATGCAATATGCTTTTCCAAAACTACTATAGATCATTAAAACCATCTGTAAGTACGGTAATAAAACCACAAAAAATATTATTAAAAGCAAGAAAAAAGCATAGATTAAAAAGAATACAATAATTTTTTTTAGTTTAAATCATTGTTTAAACCATTTGTTTAAATTTTCCAACTTTGGCACAGCATAATTTACTTTTTAAATAGTACTGTATTCTCAGCATCTTTAATTCTTTCAAAGGTAATTAATTAACTGCAGTTACATGAATTTTTTAATTGTGATCACAGATCCTTAATCAGCAAGTAAAGTGCTGTATGAAATTTTAACAAAATCCATGGTATGACTCCAAGTGGCGTATCGGTCAAACATATTTTTGACATCAAACGACATTTTTATGGAAAATGAAACGTAACGTTTATACAGTGAATACATTTTATATTTTTAAGAAAATGTGTACTGTATAAAGTTGATTTAAAACTTATGGGCACATATTTTGAACGAAATAGCAGGAAGTGTCCAGTATTCTCCAAACAAGGTTTATGGGCACAGTGTAATTGACTTTTTAAATACAGTAAAGCCTCCGATAACAACGGTTCGACCAACAACTTTTCATATTTAAAACCCTTGTTAATTAAGGACCCAATTCAATTTATGTCCTTATTTCATTCGTATTTACGACCATAATATAATAAAAATAAAATAAAATTACATTTTCATATAAATAATAACTAAATCCCGATATGTACAGCATTATAAAAAAAAATAAATTACTGTAAAAAAAATGAAGAATGCCTTGCACAAAGAAGCTGCCTGGCTAATGAATGATAAACAACAGTCGGAGCTTGGCGGGCCTTTTGTTTTCATGCATCTAGAACAGGAAGAGGAGAAAAACTTACTCAGGTTTCTTACAGCATTTTTGCATCCCTATTCAACATGAGCAAGTGATGGTAGTGTTGGTTCAAAAGCTAAATGAAAGTGTATAAGCTTAGTCGAGAAACTAGATGTGTTAAAACGATATGAAAAAGGTGAGAGGTCTGTGGATATTATATGGAGCAAGCAATGAACATATTTTCTGAAGTGGATCCATTAACAGAACAAAGCATTAAAATTTAAATAAATGCAAATGACCTTTACATAAAGATGTATAATGAGAAAGGAAAGCAGCTGTGCAAGGTTCTATCGACAGCTTTATTATTCGAAGGCCTAAACCATCAAATTCAGCATCATACGTAAGCAGCTTCAACATCAACTTCAGGTTCAGTAACAGTTTCAGCAACAGCTTTATGGAGAGCTACAGCTTCAGCCAGAGTTGAACCTGATGACTTCATCATCTTAATAAAAACTCGCACAATATTATTTGGCTGCCCTTATGTTTTAGACTTTACCACCATTGGTGAGTAGAATTTTTGTTTTACATTCGTAAATATTATTTAAAACATATATCAACAGTAAATAATGTTGCTTTCATATTCGTATGTAGAGAAATGACGATATGTTTTCACATGCGTGCTTACTGTTCATCGTTATGATTCCCAGTCATCTCACCTTATTTCTTAACCATTAGTGGTTAGCTACTTCTAGTGTTCCATTTATTAACATTAAATAACATTACTTAAAACGTACATACAGGTATTAAATTTTTTGAATTAAGTTCACTACAACTACATGCAGGGTCTTATTTTCTTCAGTTTCTTATGTAGAACCATCGTCACTTACGAAAACAATGCCGTCTTGTCTCCTCATGTGTGTTTTAATATTCTACGTATTATTAATGAATTGCATTGTTCATTTCACAAATATAAACATTAATTCAATCAAATACATACTCCGTTATAAACAATAATGAATCTTCTGTACATATTCTTAAGATAAATGACTTTCCTTGAGTGCACACGTTGCTGTACAACTGTATACATTGGCGTTCCATTATCAGTCTCACTTTTTCTTTAGTATCAGTGGTTGCTTCTACTGTACATTAAATAACATTAATTAAAACATACATATTTTTTTACATTAATTTTACTACAGCTACAACCAGGGTCTTATTTTCTTCATTTTCTCATGTAGAACTATCGTCCCAGACTCCCAGCTATAAACACAAAAGAAAGCAATGGTGTCCCATCTCCTCTTGTGTGACCATATTATTATTCATTTGTATTGTATAAGGTGCATTCAGAAACATTATTTAAAGAATATAGTTTGCAATTTTCATTAATTGTATTGTTTTAGGGGGGAAAAGAGGGTAAAAAGCCACACAAAAGATATGAAAAGGTCACACTTGGGAAGGCATCTCATTAGTATTGCTTTATTTTAATGGTAATTAATGATTCGCGATAAGACGATTCATCTTACACTGCAATATTGAGGACACATTAACTTCGTTATTCGAGGCTTTACTGTACAGTATTCTAAACACAGTACAGTACAGGTATGTTTAATTATTTGAAGTCATTAGTTATCACTAATTACTTGGTAACCCAGATCCTTAGTCAGCAAGGTATTAGGTCAGGCGTAATTTTGACGTCAAACGGCATCTATTGGGAAATTGAAAAGTAACATGTTTATATAGAAATGATAGTCTATAATTTTGTAGAAAATGTATATAAAGATGATTTAAAACTTATGGGCATAGCATAATTTTCTTTTTGAATGCAAACTACTGTAGTACGGTACTCAAATTTTTAAATTGTGAACCCAAATCCTTAATCAGCATGTAAAGTAGTACCTTTGTACGAAATTTTACCGAAATCCATAGTATGACCCCAAGTGCTGAAACACAATGTATTTGGCCAGGCATATTTTTCATGTCAAGCGACATTTTTTGGGGGGAAAGTGGAAAGTAATATGTACTTCTGAACAAGCAGATTGAGGGTCTCGTACGCAATTTTATACAGTATCTGTATAATTACAGGTCCAAATGACGTATCCAATACGCGAATTGCTTTTCTATTGCTAATTACTCACCGCCTATGGTTTTTTAGGGTCACTTTTCAGTTTTTGTGTTATTGTGGATGAGCGAAAGTAGTTAGACATTAAATTTCAATTCTGAGAGAAAAGGTGTTTTCAGCCTAAAACCCTATTAGGGGGTAAGGTTTACCGTTTTGGCCATAAGCTTTATTTTACCGATTTTGTTTGAAACCTTAATATATGTGCTCCTGAACATGCTGATTATGAATATGTTGTCTATAAGATAATTATCTGCTTAATTACTTTTTGGCCATAATCTTGATCTCAACGATTTTGAGCAAAATCTCAATACCTGTATACAGTACAAATAATATCTACGTTAGCCGGAATCCCTCTTAACTGTAACTCTCCGATAGCCAGAATTGAAGTTTTCTTGGAAATTCGTTCCCAAAGCCTGGAGAATTCTGGGGATGGGGAATTTTTTCCGGCTTTCAGAGATGAAATAATGCATAATTCTGGAAAATTTTGAGGATTGGGATTTCTTTCCAGGTTTGAGAGATGATGTACCATAATGCGCAATTTCTGGAACTTCAGAGAAAATATTCCCATTACCCGAAAAATTTCGGAATATTCTGGGGATGAGGAATTTTTTCCGGCTTTGAAAGAGTCGTCTCGTTACTCAAAAATCTCTCATTCCCGAAAGTGCTCTGCACCAATTGTTCCGGCTAACGGAGATATCACTTGTACTCCTGAATGTGCTGATTAAGGATCTGTTGTCCGCAATTTGATATACAGTACAGTATGTATAATTTCTTGTCAAAATGACATATCCAATTCTTTAATTGTTTCTCTAATGCTAATTATTCACCACCTATGGTTTTTCAAGGTCACTTTTTGGTTTTTATGTGTTATTCTGGATGTACAGTACTTAAGTATATTACATTATTTCCATGCTAACCTGGCTTGTAAGCCACGTCCCTCGTCTATCGCTACAAGTAGCTGATTGGTTCATAGAAAATGTTCGTTATGCTGTCCTTTTATCAAACTAAATGTGTTCACAATTGGTAAGCAGACCTGTTATTCTCTAAAGTAATGTTAAATATCTGGAATATCAAAATGCAAATACTACAGTAATTTCAAGACATTAGCACTTCAGAGAGGATTTTAGAAAATTTTAAATATTTATCATAAAAGATGAAATTCACTTTCGAATGAAGCCTTTTCATTATTTATTTGTTTTGTACCAAACATAAAGCAAACAGAAACAAATGTCACCAAACATATAGTACGGTACAATAGGTAATGAACTACAGTTCGTATGGCTGGATATATCCCAAATCATATAACTGATAAAAACTCGATATAAAATACGCGCAGTCCACAATATTGAAGAAGTTATTCTTTGCTTCTTGGTTTAATTTTACTTACAAAGTACTGTACTGTATAATAGCTTTACATCCTTGCTGAACAATTAAAATGAAGACTCCTTTATACAATCATCTTACATTTTCATTTCTTTTCACTAAAACCTTCATACCACCTCCAACTTAGTTCTTTAACCATTTGGTAATGAGGGGTCTCTCTGTGCTGAATAAAATAGTCTGGCATTAGCCAAACAAAATATTAAAAAGGGTATCCAGTACTGAAGGGGTTAAAAACTATAATGTGTGTATGGGTGTGTGTGAGTGTGTGACAATTCACAAATGACTTTGCCATAAGTCTATTAGCTGGTGACATTTACAAGTATTAGACTAAACTTTCATTCTTTTGACTCATAAAGGGTTGATAGAATTTTCTGGGCAAAACCCTGAAATACCACATTCATAGGTGTGTTTATATTTGATTTTATATTAAGTGTGCTCTATATTTTAACTGTAACTTAATGTTGCCAAAGTTACTGCAAAATTAAGTTATGGCAATTGTTATGAATTCAGAAACAATGCCTTGGTGTTGTTACTTCAAACTCTTTACTTAGATTACATTTCTTGCTGTTAGATGTAGCTTTGATTTTTAAAATTAGAAGTTATGTACCAGTAGTATTTTGAAGTCTGTTTTGTTTTCCAGTTTAGTCACTTTATGAAGACTGCATGATAACGTATGTAATTTTAGTTTGATTGCTGTGTTGTACCCACTTCCTGTAGTGTGTTGACATTATACAGTGTTTGATGTGACTAACTGCTGCAGTAGAGCCTAACAACTGACCTCCACCATGGATACTATACCCAGAGGTTCACTATGGCTAATGACCTGGTGTTGAGGCCTGCATGGCTCAGTAGTATCTTTTGTTTGCAGAAGCATGGTGTGTAGTGGCTGCTGCAGCGAGTGGCCAACTCATGCTCTCTCTCTGGCCAGCTCTTGGTGACCGATGCCGGCTTTGGCCACAGTAGCCAGTTAGCGGCAGCGTTGGATCTTGGAGGTCCGGCATCCCTCGTGTACTGCTCCTCTGAACCCCCACCTACACCCTCGCCTAGTATAGCTCAACATGCCTTCTTTTTCCCATCACCTTCATCCCCAACCAATTCTGCAACCTCCCTCTTAGGGGCTCGTCAGCCTCCTATTGGATCCCTACAAGAATCCAGCTCTGTTTCTCACTCTCGTGAACCCTCGCCCCGTACAGCAAGGATGGGGCCATTAATACACCCTTTACCTGTATGGGGAAGTGAGGGAAATAGTGCTAGGGAAGTAACCCTGGCTGTGCCCCAACAGGAACCTCTCATGAATCCTAGGCTGCAAGGAGTACCTCGTCCCCGGGTAGGTCAACGCTATGATGAGTGCAGTAGTACACCTTCCCTCAGCAGCGAGAGTGACCCCAAGCGAGACAGTAGTGGCCAGTCTTCAGGGGAAAGTGTCACACAAGCCGTTGCACAACTCTACGCCATGGAATCTCAACGCTTGGCGCAAGTGCCAGAAGATGCTGTTTCTCTTGGTCCATATGGGCCCACACCCCTTGGTACACTCCGCAACCTAAATGGACCCATCACTCGTACTGCCAGTGAGCGAGTCTCCAGGCAGGAGACATTGGCTCAGCTGCAACGTATGGCTTGGGCTAGACATACCACAAAGTGAGACATATTCTAGGCCTCATCCAGATCATTGAAAACTTCATAAATTAGTAAGCGTTACAAACTAGTGCTTTATATAAAGTGCATCCAACTACTGTATTCCACATATAGAAAAGTTTAAATATCCTTCACATAATAAACCGTGTTTTAAAGAATGTTTTCCTTTGAAAAAAAAATAGTTTATATCAACTGTATCATAGTGTACTTCATTAAAGTGATCAGTGATATATTCTTTGCAGGTTTCACAAACTTATTGATAAATTAAGCAAATCTAGGGGTGATGCGCTCCATACCGGACATATGTGTACGGGTGTTTAAGTGGGTTAATCTGCTGTGCATGAGTGAGAGTGAGCACCAAGTCCACCCACACCCTTCAAAACCTGTGATACAGTCGAGTGTCCCTTGAGTGTTTGTCTGTGTGTAATACTTCAGGCGTACAAAACTTAGTCTGAGGCCCATTGTATGGAACAGTTATTATGGCTGCTTACCTCTTGAACCTAATTGCAGGACATATAATTTCCAGTAACAGTGATAAGTTGTAAGTATAATGTATTACAGGTGTGTTTGATAAAAATGGCAGTTCAATTCTTACCTGTAGGCAGCCACTCATTTAGTCTTATTAAAAGTAAGTATGATTTTAAGGTATTTAATCTAGTTTTAGCCACAGTAATAAAATCTCCACTAGTGGTGAGTAAATCTCACTTGAACCTGTTCTAGGTTCAAAATGTGGAACCTCCTGGGAAGTAGTAATTGTTTGTAGCTGTGGACTCCTGTCTGAGAGTGACCTAAGGATTGTTCAGAGTTGATGTCATACTCATGCCATATCACCTGTATTGCCAGATGGGAATCATTTTAAAGGTCACACCTCTTATAGTCATGCATTTGGCAATACTGTATATCACCAACCTGAGCCATTTTTCCCAACTCCATATTCCTTTGTATATAGTTCCAATCTAGAGTAAGACACCTGTTCTGTATATTTTTATGTACACTTCAGAACTAGGCGAGAAGACAAATCATACCAGTAAATGCTGTATGTAGCCTTAAGGATCTGGAATCTCAAGTGACTAGTGTACAGAATACAGTCCCTCCATTTTGTTATGTTTCAGAATAGATACAGGTAGTTGTTTACCTTCAGTTATAATTCTGGTGAAATTTTTATTTCAGGATCCTGTTTTTTCCTTCAGCTTAGTGTTAGTCATTATATTAACAGGGTTGATGACTTTTGTTACAGTGCCAATTTAGTGCCAAGACATTGTATACCTTGTAATGTTCCAATAACGAAAAGTATTGTGAATTTTATCTGCCATGCACCAATATGTCTTAGTGCTAGTGTTCAGGTCACAGGTAATAAAATAATTGTTGAAAAAAAAAATATATATATATAATTAAAATATTATGTCTGTAGACTTTAGGATTGTGGGTTAATGCACAAGATATTTTAATTCTTATAAAAATGTAAAAATTAATTATGAAAGTTTACATCAAATATGTACTGTACATATTATATGTGCTATTATTTTCTTAGCACTATCTTTGTGAAGACTATACGGTATTCATGTAAGTTGATAACCCTCATTACTTGAAGAGGTATGAATAAAAAAAAAAATTGAAAAAGAAAATAAACTAGAAATCAATTGTGACCTGAACACCTGCATCTGGACAAAGTAAGTCTCACATTAAAGATTTTTCACTCCATGCTAGTCTGAAGTCAGCTTTTAGCAGGTGGTTTTCTTTGTTTCCTATATACAACAATGATAACATAAGCATAGAGGGATCAGAATGCTTGTTGATATTACAACCAATTACCTTTCACACTCCTACTGGTTTAGGAGTGTATGGAAGATATAGTGCTGTATAGTAGTGTGTAATTAATTATGTAGAAGTAATATTTGGGAAGATGGTTACATGAGGCACAAAAACTTAATCATCCATATATGTGACATTACTAGTTAATTTTAAACCTAAATCAATCAGATTAGCTTTTGCTGAGGTAAGAGTAGGGCAATAAACCATACTGCTATCCCTTCTTAAAATCCATTACCACTGTTGTTAATTACATATTATTTTGTGTATGTGTTTACTTGAGTAAGTCATATCAGAATGATATTGTCTGTGGATGTCATCTGCATTATAAGAAAAGTGTGCTACCTTAAATTCCTGTTTATTCAACTTTTAACCCTTCAATAAAGCTCAATATCAGTAATTGAGTCGCATCTAGAAACCAGAACCTCTAGTTTATGTACAAATACACTGTTGTGTAGATGGCCCACTTTCTAAAACAACGCTGATAAACAACAATTATAGGACTGCTGAACTTGCAAATAATTAGCTTTTCACATACTGCAACTGCTGAAGTAATTGCCTTAGCTTCAGTGTTGTTTCAGAATATGGGCAATTGTCATTGAGATGTCCAGATGTTCAACTGTACTTAAGTTTTTATCCATCTGTCCTTCAATAAAATTATTTCCTGAGATTAGCTTGATTTTGTTGCCCTCTCCATAAGTCTTACACTTGTAATGGGTCCCATACATGTAACAGCCTATTAGAAAGAGTGTTGATACATCACATTGAATATTAGGCCTCCAGTACACAAGAAAATATTGTGATCAGCACTATGCTCGGCAGCCTTCACTTCCTGAGCTGTAAAATTAGGTACAGTAAACAAAAATTTTGCAGTGCTTAAGGGGCAGTTCACTTGCATAGTTTGGCAAAGAGAAAAATTTATGTAATGAGTTTCTAACACAACTGTATGCGAGGGTTGTATATCACCACCACTATAATTCTATTCCTGCTTGTTTAGTGGCTTACTTTAATACCTTTCAGGCATATAACTGAATAAATGTCTGTCTGTCAGGGGTGTGGAGTGGTAGTGTTAATGTCCCGGCTGGCTAGTTTCATGTGAGCTGTGAGGCTTGGTCGCATGTGCCCAGTTCCAAGTGATGACGTGTACCCTGCTTCCAAATATTTATGGCACTTGATACTGCTCATAACTCTTGGTTTTTTATAATAAATACAAGATTACTTGTATTGTTTTCATGCTTGTATGTTTTTAAATACCAAAATTCAGAATCTGCATCAAGTGCCATCAATTTTTATGTTTAAGCAAAGTAAATTTCTCCAATCACAGTCCATGCAGCTGGCCACCCACTGCAAAGATGTCACATTTTTTATTTAACTTCTATCAATAATTAAATAAATTAGTGCAATTAAAAATAAAAAACTTAATCCAGGCATACCCCAATAACTGACACATATAGGGGGTTAGGGACTGGTCACCCACCAAAAACTCCCATCTACCCTTGATATACAGTATTTTCTCGATTTACTGAACTAATATGAGCCACCCCTGTTCGTTAAATCAATTTTTTGGTAAAATTGACTCATTCAAGCGTCATTCCGTTAAATTCCGTGGGGTCTGTTTACATCCGCTCAGTCTGTGTTGTGCTGCCACCACATGTGTTGTTTACTGCCCCTGTAACTCTCCTCCCTCCCTGCCATATTTACTGTTGTTATTAGTGTTTTCTGATATACAGTATGTATAATAGGGCTTAAGGGCGTACTCCGCCTAAAACAATGAAAAAAAGAATATCGAAATGTAGAAAAACTACAAGACTGGTCTAATGTCATCTCCATGCTTTGTGAAAGTTTGGTTGTCATACAGCAATGTTTTCCCCATCAAAATAATATATTTATACTGTATAACCAAATATTGAGCGCGCTCCCCCTTGCAAAAATCTCCATTTTCTAATTGCCGTATTCTTATCATTATGTATCTAACATGATATTTTTCCTTTTTTTTTTTTTTTAGTACGTAAAATATAACTATCGAGACCGAATGGCAACATCTGCCCAGCTTGGCTGGGAGGGAAAGAGGGAGGAGCAGAGCAGTGTCTTTGTAACTGTCAGAGGGAGTTGACCTGTGCACCTTTGCTCGAGAGCCCCCCTGCCTATCTCTGGCTATTTTATTTTCAATATTCCTGTTGCTTTATTCTACAAGCATGCCCAAGTCCTCTAAGAAGATTTTATTTCAACGGGAGTTGACGAGGAATGAACGGGAACATAAAGAAATACAAAGAGTGCTATAGACGGACCAGGTGTCACCACCCCCACCTCTGCAGCACACTAGACCAGCGCCACGTGTGACACAGGTGCCAATTCAATAAATGTACAGAAGGCTCTCTCGCCAATAACGACTTCCACAATAACGTTTTCGACAATAACGGTAAGTTACAATAGATACCCATTTTCGATAACGTCTGGATTCTCTTAAATAACGGAAATTTCGCGGGAAGCGTCCGAGCGCATCAATGATAGCGTTTGCTTGCCGCCATGTTGATGACGTAGTTGTCCACTCCGCCTCACTCTCACTCTCACACACGCTCAGTGGAACACAGCGCTGCGCCCACGTGTGAGATTTTCGCCACTATAACCAGTGGTTGTTAGGGTCGGTGATCAATAATGGCTTCCACATTTTTGCCTGTGGGGGCTAGGGGAGGTGGTGGAGGGAGTGATTTGCCACCTGAATGACTGGGAACTTTTAAAGTGAGGAAATTGAACTGTCCTGAGTCTACAGTGCGAAATATTAAGAGGAACTTAGAGGAGACCAAGAAGAGTATTGCGCTGGCTAACAATATTTCGGTAGTGATGGAAATGCGAGGCGAGCTATGAATGATAAAGGCAATAAAAACAGGTTGTTAGTGATAACAGAGCATTTTCTTGTGAAATGGTTAGCTTGTAGAATGAAAGACAGTGCAAGTGTTAGCGGCCCTCAGATACGGGACAATCATCACACCAAGCACCTCAAAAACTCCCCCAAGCTAAGTGTTATATTACTCAAACTCTTTATTTTGATGATTGAATAGCAATTCTTTTTATTTCAGCTAACAAAAAGTGTTAGGAGGGCTTCAAGGGGAAAAAATGGGTGAAATTCTTGTGGCGGCAGGACCAATAAACCCCTTTTACATGTATTTTAATGTCACACAAATAACGTTTTCGCTAATAACGGTGTTTTTCAGGCACCTATAAACGTTATTGGTGAGAGCCTACTGTATACCCTAACTACTGCAGAAAATTATAAAAAAACAATAAAACATATGTTTATATCCTTATAATAACTGTCCAGTCTCTCCTCGACTGTCGACAACCCAAACATACGACGGCCATGGTCGTATAAAATATTTTTCACATTACGTATTTTCGAGTCCTGACATTAGTGATCACGCTGTGTACTGACAAACCGTTTGTAATTCCCTTTAAAATGGCTGGCAAGCGTAAAAGTGAGACCCATTTTAGAATTTCTATGCATTCTTTTCGCCTTTTCGACTTACGACCTGGTCGTCTGGACGGAACCCTGTCGTAAGTCGAGGAGAGACTGTATTTGCAATAACATTGCCATTCTGACAAGTATACCTACTAGAACCATACTTCCACAGAAAATAAGCCGTATTTCAAACTAAAGTTATTATCATTTGAAAGTGCACTACAGTAAGTCCTCGCTTAACGTCCGAGTTACGTTCCTGAAAATGCGACGTTATACGAAAAACAACGTTAAGCGGATCAATTTTCCCCATAAGAAATAGATAAAATACGGGAGTTACGTTCCTGAGCCTCCCTTTGCCCCATGAATACAGAAAATTATTGCCATTTCTATGGAAAATAGTGCATGCATATACAACTACTACAAGTATTGTACTAAGTTTGTATGGGTACTCACTGATGGGCAGAGGTGTCTGGTGGGTAGTGATGTGGAGCAGGCGGATGGTGGGAGCGGAGGAGGAGAGTGGTGAGTCACTGAGGCTCTGCGGCTGCCTCCTCCTCCTACTCCTGTGCTAACTGGGGTTCCTCCGCCACTGCTTGCTCTCCTCCGCTGATGTTTGCTCCTCTTCTGTTGTTTTGTTTGCTCCTCCTCGGCTGCTGGCCGTTGTGAAGATGCTGCTGCTGTTGCCGTCCCGCGACGAAAAAAATGAATCCAGTGTTGACTGCTTGGTGCTACTCATATTCTTCTCCTTATACATCTCGGTGTAACAACCAAGACTGTCATCAATGCTGCGCTGAATCTTGAGCTCCTTTCTCTGTTTGGGTCGTCATCTACAAGGATTTGCATACCTTGCTGGACCATGTTGAACGCTTCTGCCATCCTCTTGGTAGTTAGTGTACATGGAGGTTCTTCTTCGTTGTCTTCAACTTCAACGAGACTGTGTTCCGTTAGTTGTTGCAAATCCTCGTTGGTGAGCTCTTCTAAATGGGATGCCAGGACGTCCTCAATATCCACTGATTCCAGCTCATCAAAGCCTGCCTCTCTAGCCAAACTGAGGATATCTCTACTCACTGCTGGGACTAAGTCCTTGAATCTCATAAAACTGTTGACACACTCGGGCCACAGTTTACTCCACACACCATTCAGGCAACTTTCAGAAACCTCTTCACTATTCATCTTTATATTGTGGAAGTTATAACAACGCTTAAATCGTTGAAACCAGCCTCGGCTGGCCATAAAGGTCTCTTCCTTCGATTCTTCACCCTCTTCTGCCTTTAAGTCGTCAAACAAGGTTCTGGCCTTATGCTGGATAACCATAAGACTCACAGGGGCATTGCGTTGATTCTAGTCCTCCATCCACATTGCCAGCATCTTTTCCATCTTCTCTATCACAGTACTTCTAGTACGAGTCGTCTTAGTAGCACTCACAGAAGAACCACTTCCAGCACTAACCTTAACCTTGTCAGCGTTGGTCTGGATAACATGCACCATTGTGGGGGTAAGACCAAGCATAGCGGCTATGTCCACAGCGCGTTCCCCTTTTTCAAAACAGGTTAATACATCCATTTTCATAGCAAGGCTAATGGTCTTACATTGCCTCTTCACTACACTAGCATTAGTAGCACTTGGTGGGTGTTTGGAAGCCATTTCGAATGGTTAGAGTACAGTTTTAGAGCAACAGCACTTAAGCACACACGAATGATGTGAAGTCGTAACAAAGACTGGCTCAGCGTCGCTTGGGGACGCTGTGACGTTCCGCCAGTTAGGGCAGTGCGCCGAGCTGAGGGAGCGTACCGCTGCCAGATGGGAGCGGGTGATGCGCCGTAAAAAGTAGTCTCTGACAACGCAAAACGACATAGTATCTGATCACCGGGACGTTAAAAAAATTTTTGGTCTCAAAATTTTAGCAACAGTACCGAAACACCGATAAGTGGCACGACGTTAAGCGAGGACTTACTGTACTCCATTATTTTTCAACCAATACATGTATTAAAAACGAAGATAACTTTATAAAGAGGATTAAAAGGTGGATTTTTGGAATTGGCAAAATTTTGATGTTTTACTTTTATCCTCTTCGCCACTGATCGGCTTGTTAGCCGCTTGGGCGATCGGTCACGACTCTTTTCCTTTATATTCTTCACCAAAAGTCGGCTCGCTAGCCGCCGGGCGATCGGTCACGTCTCTGTCACGCACTGTTGGCAAATACTGGGCATGCA